CAAGCTTCTGACATGTATAATATACCTTTGGTCCGAAGTACTTTTATTAACATTTCTTGTAGTGTCCACTTGATGGCAATGAATTCCCTCCATTTTATTTTTTCTAAGTATTTCGACTTAGAAATTTTGATAAATATGCTAATTGGTTACAGAATTGTGAGTTGGCAGGGTTTTTTAATTTACAGAAGTAATATCATCTCCTTGATTTCACATTTTCTGATGAGAGGTCTGTTGTAATTCTTATCCTCCTTCCTTTGTCAGTAGTCATGCACTGCAAAACAGTGGTTCAGCCCCTGACCGCATACATGACAGTGGTCCTATCAGATTAGAAAACTATTTTTACCGAACTTTTTCTATGCTTAGATACACAAATATTTGCCATTGTATTACAATTGTCTATAGTATTCAGTACAGTAACTTGCTGTACAGGTTTATAGGCTTGGAGCATTAGGCTGTACCGTGTAGCTTACAGGCATAATAAGCTACACAACTGCAATCTAGGTTTGTGTAACATACTCTATGACGTTCACAGAATGATGAAATCGTCCTATGACGTACTTCTCAGAACATATTCCCATAGTTAATGTATGCATGGCAGTAATGTGGTTTTTTACTTGGGCTGCCTTGAAAACTGTTTTTGATTTTAATTTTCAGCAGTTTCAATTTGATTGATATACCTATGTTTGGGGATTTGCTATCATTTTTCTTGTTTTGGGTTTGTTTGGTGTTTTTTGATATTCATTATGCTTATTGATCTCTGGGCTTCTTGGTTCTGGAGTTTTGATGTCTGTAACTAAATTCTTGGCCTTTTTTTTTTTTCCAGATATTTTTCTGCTTTTTTTTATTTTTAAATTTTTATTTATTTTTGCCATCATTTCCTAGTGATGAGATTTCTTCTTTCTGAGATTCCAAGTATCCACAAACGACGCCATTTGATACTGTCCCACAGTGCTTAGGCTCTCGTTTGTATTCTTTTCACTTTATATTTCAGTTTGGGTAATTTATCTATCTTCAAGTTCACTGATTATTTCCCTCAGTGTGTTGAGGGTACTAATGAGCCCATTGAAGGCATCTTCATCTCTTTTCTGTGGTTTTCATTGCTAGCATTTCCATTTGATTTTATAGTTTCCAACTCTCTGATAAAATTATCTATCTGATCCTGCATGTTGTCTTTATTTTCTGCCAAAGCCTTTAATATATAAATTATTGTTCTTTTTCTTTTTCTTTTTTTTGCCTGAGAGTTCTTACTTTGTGTCATAGCTTAGTCTGGTTCTGAATGTTTTGTTTCGTCAGAGTATGGTTTATTGTCCTCTTACATTGTCTTTTTGTATGCCTTATGTTTTGTGTGTTTTTTTTTTTCTTTTGTAAAAACCAGACATGTATAGGGAAATATATACTGAGGTAAATATATGTGTACATATTTTTTTGAGCCAGAGTCTCACTCTGCCACCCAGGTTTCAGTGCAGTAGCACCATCTTGGCTCACTACGACCTCTGCTTCCTGGTTTCAAGTGATTTTCCTGCCACAGCCTCCTGAATAGCTGGGATTATAGGTATGTGTCACCACGCCCGTCTAATTTTTGTATATTCAGTAGAGATGGGGATTCTCCATGTGGGTCAGGCTGGTCTTGAATTCCTGACCTCAGGTGCTCCGCCTGCCTCTGGCCTCCCAAAGTGCTGGGATTATTACGGGCATGAGCCACCACACCCAGCTGGTAAATATTTTTATATTTGTAGATTATATTAGTTTTATAGGGAATACCCTAATAAGGTATCACAAACTGGGTGGTTTACGTAACAGGAAATTTCCTTTTTTTTGAGACAGAGTCTTACTTTGTCACCCAGATTGGAGTGCAGTGGTGCCATCTTGGCTCACTGCAACCTCCAACCCTTGGGTTCAAGCAAATCTCCTGCCTCAGCCTCCCAAGTAGCTGGGATTACAGGAGCCTGCTGCCGCATCTGGGTAATTTTTTTTTTTTTTTTTTGGATTTTTAGTAGAGGCAGAGTTTTGTCATCTTGGCAAGGCTGGTCTTGAACTTCTGACCTCGTGATCCCCCCACCTCAGCCTCAAAAAGTGATGGGATTACGGGTGTGAGCCATCGCGCCCAGCCCATAACAGGAAATTTATTGTCTCATAGTTCCAGAGACTGGGTCCAAATTATGGGTGTTGGCAGGATTGATTTGTACTGAGGGCTGTGATACAGAATTGCTTCCATGCCTCCAGGTTCTATTGTGTTGCTGCCAATGTTTGGCATTCCTTGGCTGGTAGATGCATCACTTCAATGGCATTCCCTTGTATTTCCTCATATAATCTTCCTCTATGCATATCTTTGTGTCAAAATGTCATCTTTTTATAAGGACAACAGTGATACTGGATTAAGGCCCACCCTAATGACCTCATTTTAACCTATTACCTTCTAAAGACCTAATTTCCAAATAAGGTCACATCTAAAGTACTGGAGTTAGCACTTCAACATACTTTTTTGGGAAAACACAATTCAACCAATAGCAGAGATGAACGTATTTCCCTTCTGTTAGGCCTGTAGGGAGGGTATGTTTGTATTAATCGAGCTAGAGGTTAGGCAGAGTTTGAAGTTTGTTATTTCTATGGTTACCCTTAGTGCATTCAAGGCTTCACACTCCCCTAATGATGTCTCTTTCATTTCTCAAACTGGATTCTACTGTTATTTTTACTCAACTCCTGTTAGTGTGGTTTTGGGAGTTGGGGAAGTCCATGTTTTCCAGTGTTCTGATTGAGTATGAGTCGTGGTCAGGCTCTCTGACCTCTGGTCTCAGGCATGTGTGGCCTTCACAAATGTTCTTGACCCTCTTCCAGATGTGATGCTGGGCCTAGCACACATTCCCACATCTCACAGCACACAGGGAAATGACTGGCACATCTTCCAAGTCCCCTTTCTCAGGAAACTACCTGGTGATACGCTCACCAAAAGAAGGGAAGAAAACTAAGAAGGGAAACAAGGGACTCAGACAACAATAGACTTAAAACCTCTGGACATAAGACAGAAGATAAAAGATAATTCTTAGGGTTATGGAAACATGAAAGGCCTCACAGGATAGCTGTGCATCATGTTCAAATTTCAGTTAATGCTAAGATGATAGAGAGCTTCCGGAGATTGAGCGCTACAAAGAAAATGAATAAAATCAACAAATTACATGTCAAGTTTACTTTTATTGAGAGGAACTTTGGAGATTAGCAGATATGGGGCTGAAAGAGAAAAACAGAAAATGCAACAAGTAAGAAATCAGGCAATTTTGATCACAGTAAACAAAATTTGTGGGCCAGGTGCGGTGGCTCACGCCTGTAATCCTAGAACTTTGGGAGGCCAAGGTGGGTGGATTAGAGGTCAGGAGATCAAGACCACCCTGGCTAACACGGTGAAACCCTGTCTCTACTAAAAATACAAAAAATTAACCGGGCATGGTGGTGGGCACCTGTAGTCACAGCTACTCGGGAGGCTGAGGCCAGAGAATGGCGTGAACCCGGGAGGCGGAGCTTGCAGTGAGCTGAGATTGCACCACTGCACTCCAGCCTGGGCGACAGAGCGAGGCTCTGTCTCAAAAAAAAAAAAAAAAATTTGTGTATCAAATAAATTATAATTATAGTACCTAAGTGGCTCAGCTGTGAACAATTATATAGTCGTATGAACATCCAATTATATTACCATAGTTGGATGTTTGTGGAGAAAGATAGAGTATGTGCCTGGGTGGTGCGAGAGACCTAAATTCTCAGTTTACCTAATAGAATATTAATTTAAAATGTCTAACATTAGACATATTGCAGTTATGGAGAAATAGCAAGGTCACTGGAGTAAATCATGCCTCTGTTTAACAGCAATTTGGTGTAGGATGGCATGACCCAGGAGGTTTTTGTTTTTATATAAGCCTGTTTTGTTGTTGGACTGAACTCATAGCTCTCTATATAATTTTGACAAAATTCATAATGTGGAAAGCATTGAATTATTGACTGTGTAATACCATCTTTCATCTTAGAACATCAAAAGTACTTTACAATTTATTCCCATTACATCTCTGAAGAGTAGGCATGTCTAATACTGTTTTATTGATAGTTGCTAAAATAATGAAAGAAAAAAACTTTCTTCTGCTTATAAGTGGCAGACAGAATTCAGAATTGAAGAGCTCCTCTTCTATTAAATAAGACACAAAATAGCTTTCAAGTAATTCATCCTTCATAATCTATTACTGTACAGATTATAAGAGGTTAGAAATCATACTCTGTGTGAAACACAGCCTAAGTAGTTTCATAAAAATATCACTTGAAGAAAAGATATGAGACCTGGCATTCAAGTTATAAGATCAAACCTAATCTCCTTCATTGTCCAGAAAAATCCTAGTATTACTGGGTTTTACTTTTAATAGAACGATTGCCACTCTATGTACTGTAATTACTTTGGCAAAGTTATTACATTTCTGTAGCTGAATACTAAAGCATGAATCCTATTGTGACGGTGTCTTTTTCCATCTCTTGGGAAGCCAGTTCTAACAAACAAACAACTCTATTGTATCTATCCAGTTTGATTTTGTCCTCTTTCTCTTCCTCCTAATAATACCAGCCTTAATCTTTTTTGGATCATGAGTTTTTGTGGTGTCTTTCCAAATCTCACTGTATTCTATCTTCAGAGATAAAAGATTATGACTTTGTTTCAGAATCTAGAGTCAGATCTACGTAAAATGAATTAAGAATGTTTTGTCGACCATAATGTTGTGGCGGAAGTCTAGAATCATCATCCCTTGTTAAAATGAAAAAGCTCATAAAGTTTTTATCTTAATACCTGTTATTGATACATACCCTTATATCAGTTACTAATTATCTGAGTGAATAGTTTGCTATCTCACTTATTAGAGCTTTAAGTAAGAAAACATGGTCTGAAAGTTTTGTTTTCATCTAGTGTATCATAACCTATTTATATTTTCAGGTTTTCAGAACTGCATCTTATTCATTTTCCGAATAAAGCATAAAGCGCTCAAAGTCAGAGTTTACTTTCTTCCTCTAATATTCGACTGTCTTCGGTAGCATTAATGTATTTTTAGTTAACATAACTATTGGTTTAGTTTTGGCTTATTTAAAGCATTTCACACTTGCTGTTTCGGAGGTCAGATGTCCCCTGTGAGCTTCTTCCTTGAGGCAGCCTGCTCTACAGGAGAGGTGAGTCCAGCGGGAAGACAGCCCACTGCAGACCAAACAAACCATCTAGTCCTTGTCACAAAAAGAGGCTGGAACCTGATGGTGATTCTCTTCCTGACTTTTCCTGGTGGTCCTTCTGACTTGGAGTGGCCTGGCAATTTCAGTGCCGTGACAGCCAGAATGTTGCCACTAAAATTCCTCTCTGGGCAGCATGAGTGACTGACAGGGCACGCGGAGAAAACGATTCGCTTTCCCCAGGCTTGGTGGAGCGACTGCTGTTGGACGAGTGTGGTCGTCTCAGGATCTCTGAGCAAAGAGACACTGCCAAGGCGGCGGTTGTTCAACATTTAAGGTATGTTAGGGAGACCCGAAGCCCTGCACCAGGAACGCAGTTTAGTTCGCCCAGCCCACCCTGCAGGGCTGCCTCTCCAGGCGCTGGGTCCGGGGAGAAGAGGGCAGCTGCCACGCCGCACTACGCATCCTTCCATCCACTGTGGTACCTGACGCTGCCCCCGGTCTCCAAAGTCGAGCTCCACCTCCGCGGTCTCACCTGGAAGTCGAAGCCCAGAGAAGGTGCCGGCCGCGGCCAATCACTGTTAAGCCGCCCCCACTTCCGCTACGGACTCGCGCAGCCTCCTGGGCCAAACGCTGCAGTGCTTGGGGCGCCGAGGCCTCCAGAGAGCTGTGTGTTCTGTGAGAAGTTCGCATTCTCAAGGAACCTCAGCTGTTTGGTTTGCTCTTCTGCCACCCACCCCTACCTGTGCCAGACTGAGGGCTCTCCCTGCCCCACCTTAACAGAAGAGAATTCCAGGTGCTGTTTTAATTTATTGAATCTTACTTATAACTGGTTGGAGAAAAATGTGGTTATATCACACTGAACAGCTTATTAAAAGTTACAGTATCACTATGATAATTGAGATATTGTCTTTTAGGGAATAAATAATGAAATTATAAGATGAAATATATAAGATGTCTGGGAATTTGCTCCATTGGCAGAAGTTGGTGGGGTTATAAAGACTGTTAATTCAAATGATAGAAGTTGGTTTCTTTTTATGTGTAGGTTCTTCATAATGTTCTCTCTACTATTGTGGATGCACGAAATACTCCACAATTTAAAAGCTTCCTTTCGTGGCCGGCATGGCAGCTCATGCCTGTAATCCCAGCACTTTGGTAGGCTGTGGGCGGATCATATGAGCTCTGGAGTTTGAGATCAGCCAGGCCAACCTGGTGAAACCCCATCTCTACAAAAAATACAAAAATTAGCCTGGCATATTGGCCCGTCCCTGTGGTCTCAGCTACATCGGAGGCTGAGGTGGGAAAATCGCTTGAACCGGGGAAGCCAAGGTTGCAGTGAGCCAGGATGGCACCACTGCACCCAAGTCTGGACGACAGAACGAGACCCTGTCTCAAAAAAATAAAAATAAATAAGCAAAAGATTTATTTCAAAAGTCTAATCATGTTTCAGCGTTATCAATGCCTCGTTCCAGAAAATCTCATTTCTCTTACTCTTTTCTTTGAGCCGCCTCCCCGCTTTCAGTCCACCTCAGGGCTTTCAGATTCTGTCTCCTTTTCTCTTCCCCCTCACAGTTGTCCCTAATCTTAATCGATTTTCCATCCTCTACCAATCCTATCTCCTTTCCTGTCTGCACCCTTTTTTAATCTCATAAAACTGCCAAATTAGTTTAAACTGGGATTGAGGAAAGACCGAGACCAGGCATTGTGCTTCCATCTGGGCGTGTGTCCGTTGTGTGGATCCCAGGCCTGGTCTCAGATTACCTGAGTCACCTGGGGTCACCTGGGGCTGGTTCCTTGATCCCCCTCTTCACCCTGTAGTGGTCACATGAAAACAAGGACAATCAACCTCAATTGGACTGCAGTGGCAAGATTGTAGCTCACTGTATCCTCAAACTCCTGACCTCAAGCAATCTTCCTGCCTGGGCCTCCGTGCTACTCAGGTTGCCGTCTTGAGCCATTGAGCTCAACCTGGACAAATTTTTTTAAAACAGGATTTGGTGTGGTACTGAACTCAAGATATTCCAAGAATGGTTTGTGTTTCTCATACTTCTGTTGACTGTTTAATGGTAGATATGCTGATTATGCAGAACAGTTCAGACATAATTAGATGTAATTAGGGCAAACCAGCATGAGGCCCCTTATGAGAAGTCCAAATCTGTGATTGTTATACAACATACAAAAGAACTTTCTCATATACGAGTCAGAGTAAAGAATAAACCGCATAGGTATATGTGTAGGATATGTATATGCCACTATAATACCATTACACACACACACACACACACACACATATATATATATATTTTAAGATGGAGTCTCCCTCTGTCACCAGGCTGGAGTGCAGTTGTGCGATCTCAGCTCACTCCAACCTCCGCCTCCCAGGTTCACACGATTCTCCTGCCTCTGGCTCCCGAGTAGCTGGGACTACAGGCACGCGCCACCAAGCCCAGCTAATTTTTGTATTTCTAGTAGAGACAGGGTTTCACCATGTTGGCCAGATGGTCTCGATCTCTTGAACTTTGTGATCTGCCTGCCTCGGCCTCCCAAAATGCTGGGATTACAGGCGTGAGCCACCATGCTAGGCCAATAAAATTTTAAGTAAATATAAAAACATATTTATATTTTATTTTTTGTAGAGATGGTTGTCCAGTCTGGTCTGGAACTCCTGACCTCAAGCAATCCTCCTGCTTTGACCTCCCAGACTGCTGAGATTATAGCCATGCTGCCAGCCATGTGTAGGGTATGTATATGTTCATATAATACCATAAAATTTTAATTACATTTGTAAGGTATGTAATTATATGTGTTTCTGTATAATATGTTCATATAAATATGCTAATACAAGAACATAATTGAAGTATAATCAAATATATATAATTTTAGATGTATATTGAAATATCTTTCTAAAAACACAAAACTGATGGTTGAAAAATAAAATGCATGAACTCCCCAGGGTTCCTTCTTATGTGGCTACTTTCCCCAGCTTAGGTCCAGCCAAAGGCTGCACACCCTTTACTGAGTGCAGCTCACCTGTGTCTCCTGGTGCAATCCTCACTCAGATATTCTGCTGCCAGCAGAGGGTTAGTGTAGGGTGCGGAGCCTACCTGTATTCACTTGTCAGCAGTTCACTGGGGATTGTCAGTTTTTTCCATCCTTGCAGAGCTGATGTTTCTTCCTCGATCCAGGTCAGAAGACACAACACAGTCCCTATTTCTTGTTCACCAAAATGGTGACCTCAGAATAAATTCAGTCTTATACCTTGTAGGGAGTTTTTTCCTTATGCAGTCAGCATAGGGGAAGTGACAGGTCCCAGAGGGCAATTCTGTCTTGTTCTCTGATTGCTCCTCCAGGGTCCTGGGTTGGTAAAAGGGACAGGGGTAGGGACCTGCAGAATGGTCATGAAGGGGTGGGAGCTGCGGAAGTAACACACCATGCACTGAGTGGAGCATAAGGGCAATTGCTGGGTGTCACTCTGTCACCCTGTAGTGCAGTGATGCAGTCATGGTTCACTGTAACCTGGAACTCCTGGGCTCAAGCAATCCTGCAGCCTCAACCTTCCAAATACTAGGACTGCAGGCACATATCACCATGCCCAGCTAATTTTTAAAAATTATTCTTTTTGTAGAAATGGTGTCTCACTATGTAGGCCAGGCTAGTTGGGAACTCCTGGCCTTATCCTCCTTTCTTGAACTCCCAAAGTCCTGGGATTACAGCCATGGCTCCCAGCCAGTTTTTTGTTATGCATAATGAGCCCCTTTGGACCAACTGGATTTATGCTAATGAGGTGGGTTGGGTTGGGGCCTGTGGGAGCCTCAGGATAGGGCTGCTCAACAGAAGACCAAGTGATTAGAACTTTCAGTAGGATGGTAGGGGGACCTGGAAAATAAACTTTATACAAACTCTTGAAGAATGTAATATGAGGAGCTTTGAGATTTGTGAACACTTTGAGGTGCGGGGAGGGTGGACCACCCAAAGAGGGAATGAAACTATATTTAAATATTAAATGTGATACCTATACTGCATTTACACTTTTAAAATCATTCTTTTAGTGATTTAAGATATAGATAAAATGATATGATACATGAATACTGCATTAAAATGATTTGGGGAAAGTAGAAAGAGGCTGAGTGCCTGTGAGAGCTTAATGTACTGCAATTTAGAATCTGTAGGCCTTTCTTGAAGGTGGCCCCATTAAAGATGGGTGGATTTGGAAGTAACAGCATAAGTGACCTTAAGCAAAATTTATAAATGATGAATATGTTTCCTTCAGAATCCAAACAGGGTTAAAGATACTGGGCTTGTTTTCACATTGTGGGCATTGAGAGGTTTAATAGATGTTTCTCCATAGTATCAGAGATGGAGTTGCTTTCAGTTTACCAAATAATTTTCAGGCAATTAATCAAATGAGGGGCTTGCACTGTGTGGGGGTAATGACCCATTCCCTTTGTGTAAACTCCTTTGTGAGTATTTTCATGGCTTGAATGAGTGTTTCAAATGGATCACCATGGAGGAGAATGTCATCCATTTAAATCATACCTGCTGTTCTGGAAGAAGTTGAATGAAGTTGAAATCTTCCCTACAAGGTTTGTGTGCAAAGGCAAGACTGCTGAGGTGCCCAAGATTGGTGGGTAGAGATGCATAAAATTCCTTTGAGGTAAAGGGAAAGCATGGCCAGGAAGCTGTCGAAATAGGCCTGAAAAAAAAAAAAAACTAGCCAAATCCTTAGTAGCCAGATATTTACCACTTGCTGATTGGACGGAGTAAGTCATGTCAATAACATTGGGAGAGATCATCCCATTACAGCCATCATCAATTTCACTCTGAGATGTCATACTTCTTTCAAAGTCTAAGAACACACAAAATTGGGGTTGAACGCAGAAACAGTGAGATAATCACTCCTAGGTCTTGTATCATGGGTTTCAATTCTTGAATATCCTATTTTAACTAATATTTAGCTATATTATCTCTTTTTCACTGGGGTCAGGAATATCCTTTGGATACCATTTTGTAAAGCTAGTTTGAAAATTCGAAAGAATTTAATTGCATTTATGACTTATCCTATCTCTTTTTTTCTCTTTGATATGTCATCCCAGTGTGTGCTCTGACTATGGAAAATTTAGGGAAACCAGTGATTCTCATAGTTAAAGGATACTTCTTCTACCTCCGTTTTATGTGCGGTAACATCACTAAGTGTTCATCATTTAAAATCAGAGGGATCCCTGGTTAACTAATTAGAGGCAAAGGATTACATCTATGAAAGTTTTCCAACTGATGCATTGTAACAGATGCTGAGGTTCAATCATCCAAGTTATAGAGAAAGAAAAGTCAACCAGCACCATTAAATCTTCTGTGTTGTGCAGATTCTTTTGGTAAATTTTGCATATTCAACTGGAAATTGCAAATTAGGAACTTCTGTTCCAGTTTTTTTTTTTTTTGGTCCTCTCCTTGAATCTGTAATTTGGTTTTATCTTTC